ATTATCTGCACTACTACTCAATTCTTGGGTATGGGGAAAGGAAGGAAAGACTGGTTTGTTTTCTAAATGGGCAACCCAAAGACAGAGAAATGCATGGAAATTTTTTTTATACACATTATCTTTACAGAAAGCATTACTGTATTCTTTTGCTGCAATATAAAGATAAACTTTAGCTATGCTGCTGCAAAGCTCATTTCCATGAATCAAGGACAACTAAGAAATACCAGGCTTAAGTCAGGAGGTCAAAACATACCAAGCCTGCATTCTGACTGAAATGAAAAGTTATCTTCAAACATTTAGTTTGCCTGAGCACAGAAACCATTTGTTTTAGGAACACAAGTAGACTTTAATTGATCATCACAATTCTTTAAAACCAGATTAAACTGAATGCTGCAGAGGAGAAAAATCTATCAAGTGCAGTGTCATCCTCACAACACCTATGACAAACAGCACATGACAACATTTGATACCACTATTATGAGAACAGCCTTCCAATGCAGAGAAAGAGAGTAAAGTCATATTTGCTTAAGGAAATATGGAATATTGCCTCAAACCACAGAACGCAGCATGTGCTTCTACAATGCATTTCTTCTGAAACTTAACGATTCCAAAATGTTAATTTTCCCTGAATCATACAGGACAGAATTATTATATGCACGTAGTACACTCAATGTACTGACAAATATCAGACTGCTCAGCCAATAAACTGACATTGCAAGATTAAGATGAAAAGGATAGCTTTTATGAAAGAAAAAGTGTCTTTTCTGCTTACTCTGAGACAGCATGTATGGTGTATAAAAGCATTAACAACATTTGGTTTATAAAATAAATAGTTTCAATTCATATCTGTTTAAAAAAAAACAAAACATAATCATGTGGTTTCCTCTGTATTTAAAAATAAGATGTCTGTATATCCACAGTATCTTAACACCAACTTGAAAGAGGACTAACCAAATATATGCTGTTTAAAATGCCCCCAAGCCTACTTACAATACTTCCACTTCAAAGCAGACAAGAAATAGAAAGAATTCTTTCTGAGGTCTGAAGTCTGAGCACAAAAAGGGATGGCATCTGTATCCAGAAGGTAACAATTTAAGTCCTGTCAGGCCTATCAAGAGAGAAACTTCCAAAGACTCCTGGAAGAAACCTTTTCTTCAATTCTCTTGGCAGTGTCTTAGTTTGAAGTCCAACAGAAGCATCTCTGTTGACTGACTTAGCAACCCAAACACATAAGGCCTTTCAAACTAAACGACTGTTTTGAACAACCTCATGACACATGATTTAAGCTAGAGCAAGCCCAAGAACACAGGTATATATTAAGCTGACTAAGTATATTCTCTATCTGAAGCCCCTGAAACATCTTCAAGGAAATTCCACAAGAGTGCAAGTAACCTTTCCCAAATGTTAAAAAGACGTGGCCACAGCAGCAATGACTGCATCAAAATAGAAAATCAAAACTTTCTAGGCTAATACTCTTATTATCCTGTACTAGACCTGATGAGGGTTGGAGCATTCCCAGGTAGCAATCTGTTTTCAGGAAATAAATGTCCACTGTGAAGACACTACATAAAGTGTCCAGAATTGAAAGAACTGACTGTTCAAAAGCACAAGTGCCTCAACATAGCTTGAACTTCAACTATCATTGCCATTTGTAAGTTTATTTTAGAAGAGAGACTGTAATCAGCCATTCCAAGCACCATTTGCACCCAAGTAGTCTTCCACTTGCCTAGAACATTAATCAGATGGGGCGTGTGTGCGCGTCTGTGTATATATATATACACAAAAAGATCTTGTTCTCAGATTCGCTATAAAGCAAAGGCATGCAAATTTTGAAATACCAAAGTAAGACCTTTCAGTGAGAAAAGCAAGACACTTGCCTTAGCAGTGAAAGCTTCCAAAGGGAGGAGTTAAACTTCCGTAGTTTACAAGTGAATTTTATAACCTGCTATTAATAACTGTTGAAGCAATTATTTATCTAATCTCAATTTTAACTAAACACTAATAAAGGTATAAATTCATTAAGAAGCTAAATTTTACTGTATTGGCCAACAAAGTAACCTAATTGTATCTGCTTCCCATAATGCTTATACTTGGAAAACAGCTTCAGGAACCTTCAACCCAATTACCAAAGAAAGGGAAATAGAAAAATAATTAACAACAAAAAACCCAAGCCATCATGGAGATACCTACACATACCTCAATTTTTTTCCTACCTTAGTATTCAGAAGTGACAAGTAACACTGAATACTGTCTGTCTTCCTCCAGGCAAAATCATGACTACTTAACACCAAGGAGAGGAGCAAGAGAAAAGAAACAACTAAATTTGCGTGCACTCGACCATAATCTATCAAATCAAGCAAATGAAACAAAGCCAGCCGTGAAGGCATTTCCAGCTCAAAGGGACATGTCCATAAAATGGATCCTCCATAAATAAATTAGTGCTCGCCTTCCTGCACATGTGGACTGAAAAGGAAAAAACAAACTGACATCACAAAAAACCCAAAAGGCTAAACTTCTTACTCCTTTCCTGTTCCATTACCTACCATGCAGGGAAAACCACTAGAAAAGAACACTAAACTATTAGATGCAAAAGGAAACCAGAATGGCCAGTAGCATGCTTACACATGCACAAAAAATTACAAGATGGCTTATGAGGGCCAACATAACTACAAACATTAAAAAACTCAGATAGTTCAGCTAGTTTAATTGAAAAGCTTTGTAAGAAATTTAAAACTCTCCTACTAAAAACAAAGCACCTGTACTGGCATGTTACATACTTGAAAAGTTATGATGACGCACTAGTGTTGTGTGTCAACCAAAACTGTCTTTCTAGTTCTTCATTTACTTTCCAATTTTATTACTTCATTAACTTTTCACATTGCCTCTAGTGGAAACAGGGACATCATTTAAGGTTGGGGACTTGTACATGAAACATAAAGGCAAAAATTAAGTCTGAAGAACTGTAATCCATGATGTAAAATCCAGAAGAGAAAACAATTAAATTGCAGAGTGCAGACTGAGTTTGTAGGACTGACAGGTAGAAAATCTTTCATTTACCTTGTAAAATAAAGCAATCTGAAAGAGACTCAGTGAGAAAAACACATTATATTTATGTTATTTTAAGAAGCAAGCACCCTATATTCAAATATATATTAGTACTGCACTGAAAACTAAACAGAACCCTAATTGACTACTCTTCTCATGTTATGTTTCATCTCCTTTACACTGTATAGGCAAAGGATTCCACAAATGATATGAAAACTTAACTACCTGGTAGCTTACTGGTGAGCTCAAGAGCTCTAGCATTTAACTGTTTTACATTAAATTGTGTGAAAGGGAAATAGTCTTCTCTCCAACCCTAAACTTATGTACAACCATATACTAGACAAACCCCTTTAGTATTTTTAACTAGGGCTCAGAAGTATATGGAGAACAATTTCTACTTTCTGAAACATGCTAAAAATGCGTTTACACAGTGTTATTTAAAAATATGCAATAAGTGAAGTGGCAAACCATTCAACCATTAGACCTTTAGCCACAAACTTTTCCATACCTCACGCTTGCCAAAAACACAGTTGAAACACATACAAGTTATTGCAAGAGTCAGTCTTTGCCCAAGATTTTTCACTATGAGAAATTCCTGTGTGTCATTAAACATAGAAAGATATTTTTCTATATTCTAGAATACAGAAAAAACTGAAGTGATCCATTAACACAGAAATTTGAATCTAAAAGTTTCATGTGGCTTCAATTTCAGTATTTTCTACGTCAGGTACAAAAAACGAGCACAGGCTTCTCTTAGAAGTTACACAGCTTCATCCATTGAGTTTTATTACATATTTTTAGTTCACCATTTTGGTTCATCAGACTTTTCCTTTAAAAATGCAATTCAAACAACAGACAAGTGAACTTTCAATTTCTGAAGTTGTAATCAGATTACTCTATGAGAGCACACAACTAAAGGTAGTATTTCTATCCGTACCCCACCCGCTTACACTCAGAAATTTTATTGCACACCATTAGGAGCCTATCAGCAGTACTCAATACTACATGGCGAGTTGGATAATGAGCTTTGGTGGAATTCATTTGCTAAATGCTGTCAGTGTACAATCGCTTTACAGGCAGAGAGTAAGAGGATTCACCTTCAATCTGTTTTTGAAAGCTTCTGTATCTACTATCTAGGCAACAGCTTAGCCTGCTCTCAACCCAAGAAAGTATTTAAAACTGCTTTGTGTTCAACATACAAGACTCTCCCTCTTTATAATTGGAAACTAGTGTCTGAACTCTTGGCCTTCCAGGCACACTGAAACAACACAGGGGGACCAGAGTTGCAGCACTTCACATAGTACCCTCTGACGTAAAAGGGAATTAAGCAGAAGCTCTCCTAATCACAGTTTGCTCACCTGAAAGTCAGACACGCAAATAGACTCTGCTGTACAACTTCTTCAAAGGCAAAGAGCTGAACTGTTTGCCACCAGCATCTCCTCCTTTCTACCTCCCATCCCCAAAACAAGGCACTAGCTCAGATAGTTAGTAGAAGTATTTGCACAAAGCAGTTTTATACTCATTGAACTCAGGCTCCTCAACAAAAAAGCTGAGAATTTTTTTTCAATCACTTTGTTATATGAAAATACTTTGCATAGGTTTAATCTCTTCTGCTCTCAGAAGATTACAATGAAGGATTATCAGCAACCCACACAGTCAAGGAAAGGAGAAAAAAAAAGAGACCCCAGCTGTATGGATGGGCATAACATACAGCAGGATACAAGGATTCAGGTGCAAATTTGCCATGCTCAGTTGCATTCTTCAGCATCAATTGTTGAAAAGTGCAACTTTTGTCATTACAATTGTCTCCACTGAATTGCAAGGCAAACAATAGGGTGCTAAAAAAATTATTTAATTACATAAAATCGGACTACAGACATACTCAGAAAGAAAAAAGAAATAAGAAAGTGCTATATATTGGTAAAAAAAAAAACAACCATGCAAGATATACATACCCAGTTTTAGGGCAGAAGGAGTCACTTCAATCTCGCCACCAATCGGCTGAAAGGCAGCCAGCTGAGCCGCCACCTCCGTCTCAAAAGAGTCTGGGCTATTTCTGTCTGTCAAATTGCCATTGGTGCCATCAGTCTTACGGTGAGTTTCTTGTTCATCATAAACAGCAATCAGCTATCAAAACAAAAGATAATACAGTTTGTATATTTAAAGTACTCCCAAACCTCACTTTTTTTAAAGGAAAACTTATCTTTCATTGGACTACAAAAATAAGAATCTTATTTCAGAACAGCTAACAATAAACATACGGATTCAGGAAAGCATGTACATTTGTGTTTAAATACATTGACTTCAATATGACTTAAGTATATGCTTCAGCACTGCCCTGTGTTGACACGTTTTTCTGAGTTAGCACACTGCCATTAGTGAGCATTTTACATTGTTCCAAAACATTTAGGGATGAACATGCTTAAAAACACAGAACAGCATTTAATTCTTGGGGGTGGAGGGTGTTATTATTTTAAAAAATTGAGTGCTACTGACTGACACACTGCACAAAGGTAACACAACCACGGAAGCTCTACTGAGTGAGCAGATACATGTTTTAGTTATAAGCACATGAAAATTACATTCCAAGGACAAGATACATCCAGCACAGTGACAGAGTGAGGAGCTTCCCTGATTGCCCAACCTGTGCCTCCATAAGGATGAAAGTCTCTTACTCCCGCTAGGTACACATACACACACAGGCCTGCCCACCATGTACCTACCATCCCCTCCTACTCTCTCCTGCAAGCTTAAGCTAGATACATTGTTTCTGAAAACTGTCCCTCAGTCACAGACTCTCCAACAACTGCAGGCGCACAGGAAGGTCAAGATTAAGCAACAACAAACTGCAGAGTCTGCTGTCCAAACTCACATTAACGTTGACATGAAAATGATAAAGAACACCAGAAAAATCTTTTTTTTGCCTCAGTTAACCTAGCCTTTCACAAGGATCTTCCTTTTGGTCCCTACTTATACAAAGTGATCAGATAATGTGTATACAGCTTCATCAACAAGTAACTTGGATCTGTGTGGCTGGGTGTAAATTGTGTTACAGTTCCAGGAAAACAGTTAACTGTGTCACAGTTCTGGGAAGACAAACAAACAAACAAAAATACTAATTCCCAATGAACCTAAACAAATTAGAAGACTTGCTGTTCTCAATCAACAGGACACTTGAGACCCCAAGAGACTTCCCAAGAGGAGAGGAGATAACAACAGCACTTTTCCTGCCCCGCTATCTGACGCGGCATACTTCTTGTGCCCTAAAATGACAAACACTGCCTAATAGCATTGTACAAGATCTTACAGTGCTCTTTTATTTCAATTTTTCTAAACTCCTTAAGATTATCCTGAAGTTTTTCTTGGCTAATCCTGAAAAAGACCACAACACACACAACTAGTTAGGTGATACCAAGATACACACAGAAACAAGTTTCAAGGATTTATTTACTACTCTCTCTCTGCGTTATTTTAAGGTATGCATACACACTCTCCCTATAAAAAAAATTAGTACATCAAATCTCCTCTGACACTTCCAAGACGTATGTCAAAAACTATATCCTAGGATAAGTAGTATACTGAAACAAAGAGACAAACATTTAAAGGAACTCATTTGCCTAAGGGAAGAAAAGAATGTATGAGACTGAAAAGAAAAAAAAAATTAGAAGAAAAATCCTGAAGTGTTCCTAAGGAAGAAACTGACATTTTCAGGTCTTCTACTCATTTATAATTTGTTTGCTAGAAATGTGTCAGCTCATATTTACCAATGCATACTTCAGACACACACAAAACCCCTTAAATAATTAGGTAGAAAACTTGCTCTCCTTTTCCACATGGAGCCCGTTTCGTTTCCACGGCCACACAAACAGCTCTTACAATATACAACTTGCCTTTTATTTGTCCAAAGCATATAGGAAAGACTAATTCCAGTAACAAAGACAACTGCCTTTATACCTTATTCCTGCATTGCAGGGAAACTACCCAGGTGGTCACACTGCATTCACCACTAACCATCACAATGCCCCACAACTACATAGAACCAAAATGGCTGCCTTAGAGCCAGACAACAACAGACTACAGCAATATTCTCTAGTACCAAGAAAAAAAACCCTCTGGTGTCTTTTGTTTGTTTCTGAAATTACTACTCATGTTTGTGTTATTATGGAAGCTCATCATGATTCAAGAAGTTCCACAACTGCTGCCCACAAAGAGGTTTACTTTCTCAATCTCACTTTTGCTGTGGAAAATTAATTTTCAAGAAAGAGGCTGTTACTAATGAAGAGGAAATTTGAGATTGTGTAGGCCCCATGGCACTGAAAGCACTTTAGGTAATAGTAGGATACAAAGTTCACTTGAGCATTTACAATGTAGAGTAAATGGAGCTCAGCTGTAGTTTGATGGGAATAAACAAGTGAATTCCTCAGGTGGACCAAGCTGAGTTTCCCCATGGTTTCACACCCTAGCATATTAAGTGCTATATTATGTTCTAATGCTCTACACTTACTGCTCTAGGATGTTGAAGAGACCAAAAGTAAGGATTGCCTCAAAAAAATTAGATAAACTCATGGAAAAGTCCAGCAAAAACTGTTAAACAGAAACATGAAAGCACTACCTCAGACTCAAAAGCCCCCAAAATATGTAGCAGTAAAAACCAGAACGGTAAACCAGAAGAACACTGATGTTCTAAATTACCCTATTTCTACATGCTTTCTTCAAGTATTTTCCACAGGTTGCCAGCTGAGACCAGAGCAGCAGTCTGGCCTGTACTACCACTCTTGCTGGCTCACATATATTACAGCATTATCACATACTTAGGTTTATAAGCAGCATACGTTCCCCTCATTCTCCTGAAGTTTGAATGAAACTTTAGCAAAAATAATAATAGAAAGTTATTTTGTCAGACAAATAAGGTCACGGACAGACTTCTGATACCTGTAAGATACGGTAGCTTACCCACCAGTCAAGCCCAGAAAGGCAGACTGCATTATGGCTACACCACGGTAACTTCACTGGCTCCCTGGGGCAGATGCTCCTACTCCCAGCCCCAGCGCGCCACCTTCTGAGGCAGGCGGCCATGGCCGGTGATCAGGTGGTCACGTACCCACTGCTCCTTTTAAAGCGGTCCGGGCCGCCCGGGCCAATCAGGAAGAGGGACACCTGAGAGCGGCCGCGCGGCGGCGAGGCGCGGCGGGACGGATCCGGCC